CACCTGGCCAGGGGTTGCCTTCCACCACCAAACCCCTCCACTGTCCCTGGGGGTCAGGGACACGCGGCCAGGCTCCAGCAAGCTCCATCCTCCCAGCGTGTCTGCCTCAGAGGCAAGAGTCACGTTTGAGCATCATTTCCCAATTCCCGTGGACCCTGCTGGGTCCCGCTGACCCCGCCTGGCAGAGCTGTAGGACAGGTGCCCGGCACAGGGGGAGATGCTGGCGGTGGGGTGGAGGGGGCCGACGTGGCCATCCCTGCCTGCTGCTTGCACTCAGCGGGCAGGGACGCAGGCAGGGACAGCGGTTTGGTGGCAGAGAGGGGCAGGGACGTGGGTGTGGAGGATGAGGATGATGCTGTGGATGAAGGAAGGCACTGATTAAAGGGGATTGCAAGGGCTGTAGGAAACCGGAGGCATTGGGAAAGCCACCTTTGTGCTGTTAATTCACTGATCTGATGAAAGCTGTCCTTACCCCTAGCCTAAAGGTTCATCTATGCAGCCAAGAGGCTTTCGTCTGAATCCACAAATGTGGTAAGGGAAGGCAACATCGATGAGGTGTGAATTGTGCACATGCAAATGAGCAGGACATGCCCCAGGGGGCTGCTAGCTCGTGCCCAAACGTATTTGGCTGCATCTTTGCTGCTGAGCCCTCTCCCAGCCTCACTGGGGTGGCCTGGTCCCCCTGCCCTGGGGCTCTGCAGTGCCCGGGGCGTTACAGCCTCCGAGCATGGCTCAGCGTCGTGCTGGAGCCTGCTCCCGAGGCTTTGCAGTGGGATGTGGGCTTCACCTGGAGGAAGGCCAGCTACACCTCTTCTCCCTCAGCTGTAGAAGTTGTTGAATTTAGCATCAGTGTGTGGACTGGGGGCTTGGCCCTTTTCCCTCCAGCTCTCCCATGAGGAGCTGGAGATGCTGCCCACCACCATCCCCACCGGTCCGTGAGCCCTCAGAGAGAGGACACGAGCAGAGCTGTGCTGCGGGGGCTAGCAGGCACCATGCTCTTCTCACTCCAATAAGTTTTGCCTTTTTCTGTCTTGCTGGATGGTGGCATTGACATGGCTGAGAGCTTTCTCATTTTGGGCTGGAGCTGTAAAGCACAGGCAGCACACAGCACCCTTGCCCCGGCCTGAAAATAGGACGATGGGCTACAGGTGGCTGGGAGGAGCAGGGGGAACATGCAGGCGAAGCGGTGAGGCAGCCCTCAGCATAATAAATAGCAGCACCACACACCACCTGCCTACCCATTATCAGCTGCTTTGTAGGCACCCGAGCAGAAAGGAGTTGGAAGGAGAGGTTTGAAAAGGGACGCAGAGAGACTCCAGGCTGCGTTAGAGAGAGTTTCTCCCACGTAGAGAGACGAGGCGAGAGAAAACATGAAAGCATCAGTAGGAAAATCTAGGAAAAAAAAAAAAAAAGTCTACAAATGCTGGCTGGGGGTTCAGCTGAAGCCTCCCAGCAGCTTCGAGGGCTCACAGGCATTTTTTTTCCTGCAGTTTTCAAGCAAAGTGAAGCATCAAGGGTTTAGGTGCTCAGGGGGACCAAGCGAGCGGCTTCCTTCCAGCTGGGAAAGGAAGGAGATGGCTGGGCTTGAACATGTCATCCACGTGGGGTTTGCTCTGCAGGGTCCGGGGAGCGGGAGGGAGATGGGGAGACGGGGCAAGAAGCTGCATTTCTCCTCCCAAACAGAAAACAGGTTCCCAGTGACTGCAGTGGTTTTGCACCTTAATTATTTCCTTTGGCTCTGCTACTGGGAACGGTTGTGTCCTTGAAGTTGTTAAAAGGGCAAAAGAGAGAGGAAAAGCAATCCTGACATCCTGTCCGTTGGGTCCAGATGCAGCTCGCAGAGTACAAATTAGCGGGTGCAGAATGGAATTGCTTAAAAAGAAATTTAATGAGATGGGTATGCAGGCATCTGGTTTCTATCAATCATCATTTTGTGTGATATGCAATGGTAAATATCATCTTTTTAATGACTCCAATGGAGAAAAAGAGCCCCAAACACACACACGCAGAGTAAGCCAACAAAATTCCAGAGCCTGAGATGTTTGAACTCTCAAAAAATATTCTGTAGATGGAAAAACCCCAACTGACACCTCTTCTAATTCGCTATTGTTTGAGTTATTTTATTTCTTCCCTTTTTATTCTCCTTTCCTCTGGTTATATTTAACCTTTGTGTTAAATTAATCTTCTCTGTTTATTAACAACTACCACTGAGCGAGCCTCCTTCCCCCTTTTTCTTGGTTCGACAACTCAAATATTTGCTCTAGGCCAGAAGTTCTTGCCTGCCTTTCCCCAGCCCTGAAGAAGCACTGGCCAAGGAGAGATGGCTGCAGGTCTCTGGCCAGCCATGGATTTGCTTTTGAACTTGAAGCAAAGCTGGTTTGGGCTCCCCTGTTTCAGTTCTCCATCGATGAAAGCGAGCAGGTGGGGTTGAGTGCGTGGGCCAGGGGTTTGCTGGTTTTGCATCCCTCCAGCATGCTGGGCTCAGCTCCCATGGGGGCATCACCTTGAGGGTCTGCCAAGTGGGGAAAGATTGGAACCCAAACATTTGGATCCTTCACTGGCCTGGTCTCACCCAGGTTAGGGATTTTTGGGGGTTTAATCAATCTTTGCTCCTAGAGTCGCTGGCTGAAAGCGGCAGAGAGATGGAGGTGATGCCGTAGGAGAGGCATGAAGCCTCTGCTCCTGCTCAAGGGCATTGACCCCAGCAGCTCCTCTCGGTCCTTCTCTTGGGGCAGGGGGGGATGCTGCCATGACCAGGAATTCTTCTTAGCTTATTCCCTGGGTCTTCAACGACATCATGCCCTTGAGCTGAGATCAAACAGGGCTTTTCAGGGGACTTCCAATGGTTTGGGATGCAGAGGCTTAGGCATGCATTTACCAGCTGGCAGCCTCTGAGCCCTGCCTTGGGGTGGTCTGTGGGCAGCAGGTCCCACTTCCAGCAGCACCCCCTGCTGCCAGCACCTGGGGGGATGCCTGCCAGAGCCGGAGGGTGAGGGGGAAGAGATCGGCTAGCAGGGATGGAAAAACCCTTAGCTCCAACCTTGGAGGGGTGTTTGCTGTGGATAGCTGGAGGGCATCAATCTCAACAGCTGGGTGGAGCTGTGGGCTAGGGGGCTGCAGCAGCTTGCCCAGAGGTGGGGAGGGATGGGATGGGGGAGAAGGATGCTGGGGCCAGATGGAAAAAATGGTCCCATTAAAACAGAGGAACACTTGTCCTTCTGTTGGGAAATGCTCAGGGCAGAAGTCTTGAATCCTGGAAACGGTGCTATCTGCATGGCTCCAGCCGGCTCCGTCCCTTGGCCAGGGGACTGGTGTCCATCCCTGACCACCTCTCTGATGGCTCTGAGCTGAAGGGTCTGGACTGAGCATCTCTGTGGTGACAGGAGCTGGAGACAGCCAGGCCTGGAAATGATTTCTCCTGACAGGGACCAGATGTGTCAGGAGGAGCTTTGCCGGGGCGGGGGGGAGGCTGCACAGTAACAAGAGTTTTGTCACGAGGCCCCTCCAGGTTTTAAAAGCAACACCTTATCTCCCCCTTTCCACCTTCCTTCCTCCCCCACCCTTTCCGACACACACTCTTCACACCTCCAAAACCTATTTTGGGCCGTCTGATGAATCCCAGATGCCTCGGGGAAGCAACAGAAGCGGCAGTGCAGTCCAGGCGCTGCTTCACGCCGCTTCCTTGGCAATGCCCCCAAGCTTTCGCAAGCCAACGGGGCGGGGGAAGGAAGGGAAAGGGGGGGAAAAGGAGGATAACAAAGTGGTAAAGGAGCCTGGTCTTCAATATTGTGATTATTTGCGGGGTGGTGAGTGGGGAAGAGGATCCCACCTGGTCCTGGAGGGAGGTAGGGATGGTTGGGAAAAGGGGTGGGATGGGGTCACACGGTTTGGGATGGTGCTTGGGGAGGGGGTGACGGCAGCCTGGGAGAAGGGAGGAGGCAGCCGGGTGTCTATCTGGAGTGGGGAACAAAGGGAACGATGGGGGACAGCCCTGGGAGCTGCCTGCCGCCTCCTGAGCATCCTTTGCTGGGTCCTGTCCAGGCGAAGGGGGGCCCAGGAGGAGGCAGGGAGAGCCCAGTTGGAGGGAGGGAGCTGTGTGAAAGCAAGGAGCAAACGCTGCTGCTGTTCTCTACTGTGTAAATTGGGTGGAAGAGGGTGGTTAACGCTACTCGAGTGTCAGCCCTGGCTGCTGAGAGTGACCAGCTGCGGCACTGGCATCGGTGTTGGTATCAGTGGCCCCGGACCTGCACCTCATACCCCTCAACCCCCCCAGCCCTCCAACTCGCAAGGGAGCTCGACACATCAGCTGCAACTGCAGATTCATTTGCTTCACCTGCATCTCATTAGGGTTGATTTAATCTTGCAGAAAAGAGGGTGCTCAGGCCCTTGGAGGGGCCAGCTGGGTGTTTGGGGCATCCTCGTGCTGGGGGAAATGGCTCCTGGCATAGATGAGCAGGGATGGGAGCTTGGGGCTGAGACCTTGCAGGTGGAGCTGATCTGTGAAAGTTGGGGGTATCCTGGGCACGGGGAGACTATTTTGGGTGGCAATGCAGGAATAAAGCCCATGGGGCCAGGAAGCTGCTGTGGGGCTGAGGAAGAGGGGGAGGCTGGCTGGGATAAAGAGAGGGTTTCATGCTCATCTCCAGCTCTCTGAGACAGGACACGATGTTTTGGTGTATGTGGGCATGTATACAGCCTCTGGCATGCCTCAGTGGAGCCTCTGGGTATCAAGAACTCAGTCTTGCCTCCACTTTGTAGATCAATGTCAAGCTGCAATACCCTTGTAGCAGATGGGGAAGGCTGGGGAGAAAGGCACTAACCTCCTGATGTTTAGGCAGCTGAATGCTGCAGCTCCCAGGGAATTCAATGAGAAAACCAGCCCTGGCTGTGTTGGATGCAAGGGGGTGGTTTCCAACATTTCCACCGCTCCATGCTTTGCTTTAACCTCTCAGCCTGCTCTTGCCCTCCTGATGGTATTTCATGTCTATTCTTTCTTGAAGGTTTTTTGTCAACTTCCCATCGGCCAAGCAGTACTTCAGCCAGTTCAAGCACATGGATGATCCGCTGGAGATGGAGAGGAGCTTGCAACTGCGTAAGCACGCTCGGCGGGTCATGGGTGCCATTAACACTGTGGTGGAGAACCTCAATGACTCCGAAAAGGTCTCCTCTGTTCTGGCCCTGGTGGGCAAGGCCCATGCCCTCAAGCACAAAGTGGAGCCCATCTACTTTAAGGTAAAGGATGGGAGCAAAAAAAAATATAAAAATCTCTGGGATGCTTTAGAAGTTGGGAAGAAGGCAGGAGAGAGGGGGCCGGGGGGAGCCAGCGCTGCCTGTCTGTGGCTGGAGGAGGTTGGCTGGCCGTGGGGGTTGCTCCCCACGTGGCTGTGTGTCCTGCTGCAATGCTGTCCCATGCACACCACCATCCCCAAACACTGCTAATGCTGGAGCACCAAGTACCTTGCCCTGCCCATGGAAACCCTCCTGTCTGCAGCCCCCCCCAGCACAGTTGTGGCCATATGTGCCGCCTTCTAGAAACTGAGCATGATAGAAGGGACTAAATAACCTGAGGTGCCCAAATTAGGGAGATACTTGAACTTGCCAGCAGCCCCCCATCGTGCCTGGGTCTCAGCCTTCCCCTTGCCCAGGCCGGCTGCTTACCTACCCTCTCTCTTCCCTGGATCTCAACAGATCTCCCCAATATCTATCTGTCCCGCAGAGGGTTGTCATTCCCAGAACTCAGCCACAGGATTAAATTGAGTTTGGTGGGGGTTTTTTGTTTGTTTGGGCTTGTTTGGGGTGGGTTTTTTTTTTTTAGGAAAAAGCTAAATTTGCTGTTAGCTGCTCCTTGGAGAGTTATTAACCACTCACTGTCTGCCTCCCTCCAGAAACTTACTGGTGTCATGCTGGAGGTCATTGCTGAAGAATACGCCAACGACTTCACTCCGGAGGCACACGGTGCCTGGACCAAGATGAGGACCCTCATCTACACCCACGTGACGGCGGCGTACAAGGAGGTGGGCTGGGCGCAGTACCCCACCGCCACCCTGTGAGCAGCCGGCGGGGCCGGGCGAGGGGCAGGGAGGGCTTCGCTCACCCCAGGACTTCACTCTGGTCTCTTCTCAAGATCTTCGCTCAGTCTGGGGAGCCCAGTAGGGCCAGCTCTGTTAGCTGCCACGTCACAATTTGATCTCCACGGGGTTTAAAAACAAACTAAATAAGCCAAAAAAAAAAAAAAATAGAGCCATGAAGGGTGTGGGTGGGTCGGGGTGAAGCAGTTGCAGGGGATGCTGGAAGGGGATGCAGAGTGCGAGGGGAGAGCGTTGGTTGTTGGCTCCATCTCACTGTCCCGCCTGTCCATCACCACCTCCCAAATCCTGCGCCTCACTTGCACCATCTCAAAGTCCCTTGCACAAGCCCTGCTGTGTGGCAGTGACGTGCAGCCCCGTTCGCTGATGAATGACACGACCCTTGTTTTCCATGCAAAGCCCCCAGGTAAACCTCACTCCTTGCTACTGGGGGCACGATGCTTATGGGAACCGCCGGCTGCCCGGCTGGCACTGAAAATGCTTTGCTTTGCACTTTCTTGACTCACCTGGCAGGGCAGCAGGGCTGATGGCTGCAGCCAGAGCTGCTCTCGGCCGCTCATCGCCCTGCACTGGGGGCCGGCAGCAGCCCGCACCCCTCCTGTCATCCATGGTCCCTCTCCTTGGCTGGCTGCTGCAAACCCTCCTGGGGTGGGAGGGAGAGAGGCAGGGGGAGAGCCATGCTCCCCCAGCCTGGGAGCGTGGGGAAGGAGGGGGATGCCTTTGGGCTGCCTCCCCTCGTGGCTCAGAGCACGGCGTGTAGGTGGGATCCCTGTGCCAGGCATGGGGAGCTGGTGAGCCCACCCGCTTCCCTTCAGCTCCCACGGGCAGCAGGGATGCGCATGAGGATGGGCTTGGGTGGCACACCTTGTGCCATTGCCCTGGGAGCTGGCGTGCGTAGGTCTGTCTGTCCGGCAGCCAGTGGTGGGGTGGTGCAGGGATGCCCTGCCTGGTGAGAAGGGGGGGTTCAGGCTGTGATCAGGAGGGGGAAAGATGAAATGGATGTAGCAGGAGGGATTCCTGGGCATGAAGAAAGGTCCCTGCTCTGTTAAAATTAATAAATGACTTGTTACATAGAGCATATTCCTGCCCTCTTGGTGAAACTGGGTTCCTTCAAATAAAGTGCCTGGTAGAAATCAAACCCACGCAGGAGCTGCGTCCCTCCTCGGGGGCTGGCAGTGCTCCTGCCTGTGCCTGGAAAGGGCTCTTCCCCCCCACCCCCCCCACCCCCAAATGAGACGTGGCTGCAGGGCTCGCAGCACTCCTTTTGCCTCCAACACCAACTCCTCCTGAAGCTGTGGGTGAGTCTGCTGGGATTTGCTGCCTCAGTTTCCCCTTTGGTTACAAAAAAAGGGAGGAGGAGCAGCCCTGTTGCCTCCTGCACACGTGTGCTTGCATTTATAGGATGCTCTGGGGACTGATTCCCAAAGGACTGGGGCTGAAGCATCAGATGTGCTAGGAAGCTTTGGCATCCTTGCCACCCAATGTTTCCCAAAATGTTTCTGTTATTTTTGAAGCCCTAATGTTAAGAGCAATGTTACCCATTGAAGCGGCGGGGGGGTCCCTCCTGAGATCTCCTCTGGCCTCACTCCACTGCTGCCCTCAGGAGCTAGCAGCTTCCCGGGGGAGACCAGCTCCGATCCTGGATATCGGCTTGGCAGGCAGCAAGCCCAGTGGCCTGGCTGGGATCCCGGCGGCTGCCCTGGGGACATCCCCCCTGCCGCAGGGACACTGCTGGAGGGGGCAGCAGTACCTGTCCCCAGGGCTGACCTCCCTCCTCCGGAGCAGCCAGCCAGAAACTCCCGCTTTGCTCACCCGCAGCCAGTTTGTTTGTGCTTTTAATCATCCCCAGGGAATAGGTGTTTTGCTTTTTTCCTGGTGTTTTGCTTCCATGCTAAGGGGTTCCTTTGCCCCCTAGCCCTGGCACCACCCCGGAGGTGGGCAGCGCTGGGTGCCTGCTCCCAGAAAAGCTCACAGTGGGGTTTTCCCCTTTCCTCTGCCGGCTCTAACAACAGGTTTCTGCTTGGGATTCCTGGGAGCTGGTACAGAGGGGCAAACCTCAGACCCCAGCCCTGCTGCCTCCATCGCCTGTGCCATGATGCTGGCACTGTCCCCCCCCAGGTAGCGACCCTCAGGACCACCACTCAAAGCAACAGTGGGGGAGATGTCTTCTCCTGTCCCTCTGGGCTCGGTTAGATGCAACTCAGAGTTTGTGCCGTTGCCCCGTGCCCTGGCTCTGGGCAAAGGGGGATTTGGAGAGGGGTCTAAACCTCTTGGCTGCATTCCCCAGCACTCCTTCACTTTCCTGCAGAGCCCTGGGACCAGGGTTAGTCCCAAAATAGCCCCAGGACTTCACTAATGCCACCACAGCCACTCTCTCTGGCCCTGCTATGTCCCACAGTAAAACAGGCGTAGAGGAGCGATGGAGCCAGGGGCGATGGCGCATCCCGGGTGTACATAGAGGGTTGGGTAGTAATAACTGCTCAGGGTGCAGGCTGTCCTTGGCATGGCAGCATGCAAGGTCAAGGGCTTTATAAAAGGAAGGGACAGGCACAGGGTGACAAGTGATGGCACTTCACTGATGGGGTGGGTTGGCATTTAGGGCCAGAACCCCTGAAATTCAGCCCACCAGCCTGCACCCATGACGGTGCCCGCAGCTGATGTCTCTGGCTCGCATCCGTGTGTTGCAGCAGCTGCTCGTCCCTTGCAGAGTTGGTGGAGGCATCTTCAAAGCATCGGCTGCTGGCCGGTGTCAGGATTAGGCCCACGCAGATAGGAGAAGACCTGTTGAGTCATTGACTTTGCTCCAGTGCAAGACCAGAGAGCAATCACTTGGAGCAAGACTGTTAGGAATTTTTTTTTGGGTGCATCACAAGGCTCTCACAAGCACAGCTCCACACCAATTTCTGCCAAAACCTCGGGGCCAGCAGTGCATGTTTTCAATGAGTTCATGCACTCCCCGTGCTCTGCAGATGCTGGGCCAGGGATGTTTCCATACGGAGACGTTTCCTCTTTAGACGCAGTTCACACATTAACCTTCGAGGTTCATATTCTTCAGGTGGGAATTTTATTTTTTAGGGCAAACCCTTCCTCTCCCTTCCCACAACCAAAACTGGGCTCGGTCGCAATCAGCAGGGAAGTGATTTTGGGGTGGCTGGGAAGTCCCCATGTTCATACCCGACCCACCCGAGTGCCTTGGCTTTGGGGGAGCAGCAGTGAGGTCCCCCCACCTCACCTTTGAAAGGGGCTTGGTGGTTTCTTTTTTTATTTGTTTTTTTTGGGGGGGGGGGGGTGGGTGTTGCATCCATAGGAAAAAACTGAGCCATGACCCCATGTGCCCCCGCGTGTATG